TAGCCCATGACTGATAGATGCAATTATGACAATTAATGATAGGCTATAGTGATTTTAGATTAAAATGATTGATAGCCTATATAAATGACGATAAACCTACTTAATGATTGATATTGTGTAATTATTGAATGGCTATATGTAATGATTAACAGAATATAATGATTGATAATATTATGTGCTAAAATGATTATGGTGGGTGATGTATAATGATTTTTAGGCTTTGGTATTCGTTCTGGTTTATGCTGAGGCTAAAATTATTCATATGGTTTGGAATTGTTTTAGGCTACATAGAGGTAAAATGACCTGTATTAATAATAAATGGGCTATATAATGATAGTATAAATGCTTTGTAAATTCAATTAATGCATGGGTATAATTTATTAGCAGGAATTATTACCTTTTTGACCTTTTTGGTTAGCTCCTCCCAATTTGAAGGTTTTTTATTTGCGGGGAATTTCCCTTCTTTTAATCACAAACCCTGGCATCATTTTCCCTACGCTCACATATTTCCACGTGAGGGGATAGAAATAACATCTGGGTCCATTTTAGAATCGAGGTTATATCCTTATCACTTACCGATTTAATATTAATAATGATATTCTTACCAGTATTCCTTTTAGAAGGGGGTAAATCCCTCCCCCCCTCCCTCATAATTTAGCTATTTTCAGATTTGGGGGGAATTCAGGATTTTTAGGTGGAAATTCTGCCCTTATCCTCCCCCCCCCCCTGCAAAATATTTTTGCTACTATGAGAGTTGGTTAAATGGCAAATGATGTTTTTTATGAAATTTATTGACTCGCCAACGACTTCGTAAATCGGTTTTCCACGTTTGAAGTCATTATAAGAGTCTATTAAGTTGAATTGGTGCACCCAAACGCGCCCTAATTTATTGTTACATTTACTTTGTCTAAAGGCAGAAGTTTTTTTGTCTGGAGGAAATCCCTCAGTGGGTTAATGAGACTGCCCATGTGTCTATAGTTAACGCATTAAGTTGCGTAATTGCTTCAGAATGCACCCTATTTTATTATTTACTTCGTGTTACAGTAGACAATTTTAGTCTGTCTAACGCCAGATGATTTCCCTTGTCAACGGGAGATCGCAACTCACTTTAAATACATTATTATTCAGTCCACTCCCCATTGGGGGCTTTCTACTGACCGATTACATCAAGTATTGCGGCTACTTACAGTGTGTACGTTACATACTTAGCCTATTTATCTTTACAACAATTGTGATTACTTTCCCAGCTGTGTTTGTCCTAATGGGTCCTGTCAACTTTCCATATGCGAGGAAACCGGACCACGACTTTCGATAGCTAGGGTTCATTGCCTATAATTATTGATATGATATCCTATAATTATTGATATATCATATAAGCAATAACAACAATTAATTGATAGAGCTAAAGGATTTATGGGAACTACTGAGTATTTTTACTAAATACAAAACAACGGTAACTCCCAAAAGGAACATTTAATATAGTTCTATCTTTCGACTATATTTTAGTCATCGCCACGATAGGAATGATACTAGGTTACATAACTACGATATTTATAAGTGAAGATTAAAGTAATTTGATATGCACAAACATATTACGAGGTCTTTTGATGCCTGATTTAGTTCCGTGATTGAGTTCAGGTTTAAAACGTCGAATGGCATGCAAGTGTCAAGTGGTTCTTTAAAAAGTAAAAAGGACGAATGATCAGATCTGTCTGTATGTTATGAATTCTGGTAGTGTACAAGTTGAGGTTGACATTCATTCTAAAATAGATATGATGTGTCGAAAATGTTCGCATGTGATTTATTGTCCAGCGAGTGTTTCTAGTGTTGTAGCAGACTAGCACCGATCCGTTTTAACGATGTATCTACTTCAAATCCAGAACAAGTAAATTTGTATACCAAAAAGCTTTGACATTTAGTAGGTGTTCTAATTTGTCTTAGCATGAAAGGAACGAGTTGTTGTTCAGGGGATGCCGGAAGTTGCTGAGGGCAAGGGGTGCAATTGGTTAACAAGAGGCCATACTCCTTCATAAAAGGCACCAATGAAAATGAAAGGGCGTCATGATCCTACCTTCGTGTCAACCTCCCTCCCCGTCACCAAACTTTTTTGGACCGAATACAATTATTTAGGCACAATTCCGCCGTAATTTCTCGCCAAAAATTCCATAAGTAACGCTTTCCGTTTCACCTTTCGCCAAATGCATAAACATTTTGCCGAATTCCTGACGACTGGGGGGTGGAACACCCCCACACATCCTCGAACGACGTTTAATTCTGTCTGTTGTAAAAGTTTTGTGCACCCGTTACACCCTTAGTCTGCACCCGCACTGCACTCACAAAGTTGAAAATGCAAAAGGCAAGGGGTGCACTTGCACCCGCTGCACCCGTGGTTTAGGCATCCCTATTGTTGTTAGTTTCCCAATTAATGAACTTGCATTTTATATATAGTATAGTAGGGTGTTATTCTGTCTATGAACGAGCGGGTATAAGTCATGTTCCATATTTGCCAGGACACGATAGAATTAAACTGAACTAGCCAAATTTTAGAGACGATGTTAGTTGGATCAGTATCTGGATTATCTCGATGTGTATCGGGTTGTTTGATGTTGTTATAGACGGTGTGAATAAGATTATACACAGGTTATAGATTAAGACTATGTAGATCTGATCATTGGTCCTTTTTACTTTTAAAAGAATGACTTGCATGCCATTCGACGTTTTAAACCTGAACTCAATCACGAAACTAAGGCGTCAAAAGTAGTTGTGTTTAAGGGCAGGAGAGATGTGTTCAAGGAGGCCAGCTCCCCAACGGGTTGAGCCTCCATTGTTAAAACATTTATGCCAGTTTGGAGGGCTTAACTTCCAATCCGTTCTTGATGTACTATTTAAAGCACGCGTAGGAGTGTTTTATCAGATATAAAACGCGAGGCGCAGCCGAGCGTTTTATATCTGATAAAACACGACTACAAGTGCTTTAAATGGCTTTAAAAACGACCCATCTTCTGATGAGTACATTAGCGAAGTAATTTTTAAAATAAACTTTGTCTAAACCGAGAAAATCAAAGCTAAAGTTTATGTAAATTAACATGATTTTTTATCACATATAAAAATACGACACGCTTATGATTTTTCTTTGTGTTTTGCTCCTGAATTATTAATGAGTTTTTTAATATAATACCATTAGCCATTAGGCAGGGCATTTTTTATCTGTATAACTACTGGGGCATTTATCCTAGTAGGCCCTTTGCTAGCCCCAGAATAGTGAAGCAATATTTTTCTTTACGTTCTAACTAATTTAGTTTCAGGTTTTTGAATGAATATCTTCTAATTTAGAAAACTAACCGTTGAAAGTTTATTTTGATTAAATATTATATACCCTTTTCACATATAATATTAATTATATTAATTATCGAATTAGTTCATTCTATCCAGATTTTTTAAACTGCCCTTTATTTTAACGACTAAGTACACGTTAAGTCTTACGTTTGCATCCATTACGCGGAAATAATCATTGGAGTGCCAGTCAGGTATTGCTTTGATATATTGGAACATTTTATTCACCTCCCCGCCCTGCCCAACTTTAAGAGCTCCCCTAGTTATCATTTCACTTTTACATCACTGGTGAAAACACGAATTTCATAATTATTGAACTAATTCTTATAATCCCTCTTCTATATGTTTGTATACAGGATGTCTAAAAAACCATAGTAGCCCAGACACACTGTGCGATTAAAATTTAAATGTTTGGTATACTTATAATCGTATAATCAACCTCATAATAATATAAATGTCAACGCTTAGCACAAAAATATTCTGAATTTTTACACTAAAATATATCACCAATCAATACTTATCGCTGAAGGAAATACACTTTGGTACATAGCATGCATTAGCAAAAATAAATAGTTTATACCTTTAGTAGAAGCACTTGAAATCCAGCTTTAAAATCAAACCAATCATTTAAATTTTAATAGAATCACTGAACTAGCTGTAGAGAGTGAGAGCGTACAGCTAGTTCAGTGGTCATGTCTTTGTGTTAATTCAGTGGCGTACCCAGAACGAAAATTGGGAGGGGGGGGGGCATATTCATATATTCGTGCTCTGCTTTATTAATTTCTTTTGAAATCAATTGTTTTTATGGTATGTGAACACGAATATATGAATATTGGGCCCCCCAATTATCGTTCTGGCTACGCCACTGGTTAATTGGTAGAACCTGTAGACACAATTGTGATATAAATTCTATTCATATTGATATAGGGGCAATGGGGACGTATTTCGCAACGTTGCGAAGGAAGAACACTAGAACAGGCAGGTGAACGATGGATGGAGACAAGGAATTCTGCAACGTGAACGTCGCCGGCAACGTGTACCTGAGGTGAGCATGTTTAATTAGTACAGTATTATAATATAAGTGGGATAAATTCTATATAGTTAAAACACGAAATTTGAGGCTAATATATAGCGGGTGTCCCCCCAAAAAACTTGCGGTGTTTGATTTCATGTAATGTAGAAAACTATAAAAGCTATTACACTCAAATAAGTTTAATTGTATTGAGGAAAGGCTAACTTAGATTTTGATATACAGCCCTCAAAATGTCATGTAATATCACATGAGATATTTACAAACGTTTGAATGTGGCGGAAGCTTTAAAAAATTATCAAATTTTTTAAAGATCAAATTTATAACAGGCTGATCAGGCTGATCAAATTTATAACACATAGTACTACAGTGAAATGTCCTGTGCATGCGAATTTAATACTCAGCTCAGAAATCTCGAAAGAAGACTCCTCTCCACATGAAAACAAATATTTGCCATTTTGGACAAAAAGATTGTGCTTTTACACAAATGCATAGCATTTGCCGATCTGATCGTCAAACAATCAAATGGCGACAGATTTTGACCAGCTACAATCTTGGACAAAACCCTTGAGACCATTGCAGCCAATATTACAAAGTTTAGTTATTGAACATTGACAAAACAAACTTTGTCTCCCCCCACACCAGTTCAATGTTGTGAACAACGCCGAAACAACTTTTGGTAATATACCAGCCTCGTTTCCAGGCGCTTTGATTTGCTGCGCCGTCCCCTGCTTGCGTTGGGACCCGCGCGCGTGAGTTGGAGCCTGGGGACGAGGTTGATTCAATAAGGAGTTTATTATAAAAATATCATGTGAATTTTCTATAGGAGGGAAAAATTCTCAACCAGTTATGTCCAAGATTGTAGATTGAAATCGGTGCTTTGCACTCTATTAACCGCCATATTGACGAGCGTCAGCAACGCTTATTTAAGGACAATGTAATGCATTTACATTGTCCTTAAATAAGCGTTGCTCACGCTCGTCGTATGCCGAGTGCTGATTTCAGGGAGGTAGATAATCTTTGAGTTTAGCCCTTCGAGTTAAGCCCTTTTCGAGTTAAGCCTCGACTACGCACAAACCAAACCTATTGACGTCAAGGGCATAACTCAATGAAAATTATACGAACTGTTCATGTCTCATTTTGCCTGCAGTTTATTTAAGCCCAATCCCATTCTCCGAGCCTGCGATCCTCGGGAAGGAACGTGAGGCTTTGGGATAATCCGTTTCAGGGAGGATCTGATTGGCCTGCTCTTTTGCACGCCCCAAATGTCGGGACTTAACTCGAGGATCGAATATTTTCGATGAAATCAAGTTAAGCCCCTCTTTTTCACGGGGCTTAACTCGAAATTTCCAAATTGTGTTTTTTACTTCGAGTTAAGCCTTTGACGATGATGAGTGTGGTTTGGGCGTGGTCTGGGCTTTACTAGAAAAGGGCTTATGGCCCGAGGGGCTTAACTCGGGCTACACTAACACTCATTTCAGGCTACAATACATACTTCGATTCGAAATGCACATTAACGATAACACGTCTGAGGACATATAGCTAGGCAGATACAGTTTGTAGGATATTCGGCATTCATCATAATTCTCCTGTTGTTTTCCTTTGTTATATACACAAATCAACATCGTGGCCAGAAAGCGAGAAACATGAAATTCGTTGTGGCATGACGTTGGCTTCAATGTCGCCAGAACATAGTGAAGACGAACAGCCGGCCATCCGAGACGATTCCTCTTCGTCGGATCCCGAAGAAGCTGGCCAAGCGGCAAGGAAAATCATAAAAGTGAAAAGACTATCCTGCAGGAGTGACAGATTTACAAAAATATTGGATTCTCACAGAGAGCACCTCAGAAAGGTGACCGAGAAGTGCGGATTTTTGGACAAACAATCACAGTCGAGTCTCTAGAAAACATCCCGGATTGGATGAAGAACATTGACGGTTCTCAGGGCTAAGCAACTGAAAGAAACATAATTGGCACTATTGCTTTTGTTCCTATGACGTTTGTTTCATTTGGTTCTCCTTCATCATACGACATATTTTTAAAATAGTGCCCGCCTCGTAATTCATGAACGATGAATTAACGATTCCCCTTATTACGTTTTCGTAGCGCTTTGCATTGTGGTTATAGTGGTATCACTGATAAAGATAGCGGCCTCGAATAAAAATATTGAATCTTTTCGAGAACATTTTTCTATTGGCTATCGTGCACCTGACCCTTGCTTCTTTTAAAAGTTCCTGCACGGGTCAGGACAAAAAATAAGCCATATTAATTGAATATCAGTGATACCACTATAACCACAATGCAAAGCGCTACGAAAACGTAATTAGGGGAATCATCAATTGAAGGCCAAGAATGACGCTGTTAAGCTCGTTCTTCTCTTCCTCCTGCTGCTAGGCCGGTGGATCAAACTAGCATAAATTATCGATCGCAAGCGTTAACTTTAAATTTTGAAGGGCAGAAAAGAGGAAATCTTATCAGTATATTCTGACACTAAGTAAGCACAGTTCGCATGTAAATGTATTTCTCATTTCGCGTGACGCTTTGTTGAAGTATATTATGCTCCTTTCCATGTTTTATGAGTTTTAGCTTGCGACGACTACCGTCTCGTTTGATCTATATTAACGAACTAAAGATGCACCAAATGTACGACGCGATTAAAGTAATAGTCCCTAATAATCGGAAATCAGTATTTTACTTTGCTTTTCTCGTGTCTCTACCAACAACAATGCATAATTTTTACCAGGCCGCGTGAAGTGAAACTGGGAGAATACGCAAAATAGCGTCAGTATACTAGTTTTTCGTCATGTCCGCGTCGTAGATTTCGTGAATCTTCTGTTCACTTACGTTCAGCTAAATGCCAATTGAATCAGTCAATTAATTGACAATTTGCAATATATAGACAGTAATTTTCGATCTGGGCAAAAAAGGTATAAAATTTCAAAATTTGGTTGCAAAATGCTGTAAATGATGCGAAAAATTTACCCTGCAAAGTTCGCAAATTTTGTATACTTTTGTTGATAAGGCTTAAATATGGTATAGGCATTTCAAGCCTTATATAGAGGGAAATTTGCAAACCGGGTTTGCAAGGCTATATGTTTTCCTCATTTTACGACCCTTCGCAACCAAACTTTGCAATTGCAAATTTTAAGATGCTCTTTTTATACCAGCGCTGACAATCGGCGAAGTTATTTTAAGTATGATACTTGTGATTTAATTAGGTATTTCCGGCTATATATCTGTATATTTGGGTCAGGGTGTGTTAAAAATATGATAAATATATATTAATTGTTACGTTATTAAACAAAACCTGAATGGTTTTTAAACTTTGGTCTTATGAGTTTGAATCGAGTGGATCACTGACGATCAGAAAAATTCAAAGACTTTTTTGGTATTTCTTTTTTTCATCCTGCCTTCACGTAAAAATTGCTAGAAAATTTTCGCATAAGGAGGACCGAATTCTGGCAAGCCATTTTTGGAAACAACCCTAATCCTAATAATCAAGTGGACACGAATCTTCATAAACCAATTTTGCCATGAATATGCTTCAAATTCGCATTACGGCAAATATTGAAAAAAACAACACATTTGCATCTGCGGCGAATTCAATCGCAAATTTGAAATCTGCATCAAATTCACGATAAATTGGCACTACATGCCAACTTACAAATACACATCATATTTGCAGTGGCTGCAAATATACCTGTCATCGCGGCATTTGCACCATCGCACCCCTTGCAAATACGGCGCGAATTTATAACTTTGCAAGGGTGCAAATATGGCAAAGATGATCAAATATGAAATTTGCATCATATTTGCAGATACATTTGCACCAATGCAAATATATATTTTCATCCCGTGTAGACTCTATACAGTTTATGGCTTCTTCACTAGAAGCACTGGTGAGTAACCTTTCACCTGAGGACTTTAAAATAGTAGGTAAGAGGTGGAAGGGTGAGGACTTCAATTTAGTAACACAAAAAGGAGTCTTTCCATATGAATTTCTGGATGACATTAGTAAACTCAATACAGAGGGTCTTCCTAGTAGAGATAAGTTTTACTCATCACTGTATGAGTCAGAGGTGAAGGAAGAAGATTACCAAAGAGCTAGGAAAGTATGGAATCACTTTGGGATGAAAACCATGAGAGACTACCACGATCTCTACCTAGAGACTGACGTTCTTCTGCTGGCTGATGTATTTGAAAACTTCAGGAGAACATGTCTGGAAAATTACAAACTTGACCCTGCACATTACATGTCAGCACCTAGTCTAAGTTGGGACGCCTTCTTGAAACAGTCAGGTGAGGAAATAGAACTTGTAAGTGATATGGACATGTTTCAGTTCTTCGAGAAGGGAATGAGAGGTGGTATAAGTCATATTGCCCACAGACACTCCACAGCTAATAATAAGTACATGGAGACGTACGATGAGTCGTCTGAAAACAAGTACTTGATGTACCTCGACGCTAACAATTTATATGGTTGGGCGATGTCACAACCACTACCTAATGGAGAGTTCGAGTGGGTCGAGGAAGTTGATGGTATGAATCTAGATGATTACCTAGGAGACAACGAAAGAGGGATGGTTTTAGAGGTTGACATGGAATATCCCAAAGAACTTCACGACTTACATAACGGTTATCCTCTAGCACCGGAGAGTAAAGAAATTAGTTCTTCAATGTTGTCAGATTACGCTAAGAGTATTGCTGAGAAATTCCAGCTGACAATCGGAGGAGTAAGAAAACTGGTAAACTCACTAGGACCCAGGAAAAACTACGTCTTACATGTACGTAATCTGAAACTCTACACAGACCTTGGAATGAAACTCACGAATGTTCATAGAGCGGTTACATTCAAGCAATCTCCCTGGCTTAAGAACTATATTGACTTCAATACAAAGAAAAGGTCAGTAGCTCGTAACACGTTCGAAAAGAACTTCTTCAAGCTAATGAATAATTCGATTTATGGAAAAACAATGGAAAATCTAAGGAAAAGAGTTGATGTGAAATTAGTGTCCTCAAAAGACGACCTCCTAAAACTGACAGCATCACCCTGCTTCCAGTCACATCGAATCATGAATGAAAACCTTATAGTTGTAAAAAGAATGAAGGAAGTTCTAACGCTAAATAAACCGTGCTATGTAGGAATGAGCATCTTAGACTTATCCAAGACTTTAATGTATGATTTCCACTACAACACAATTAAGAAGGAGTACGGTAACAGGTCAAGGCTACTATTCACCGATACCGACAGCTTGATGTATGAAATAAAGACGGATGATGTTTACGAGGACTTCAAGAGGATCGGTAAAGAGCAAGACTGTTGGGATAATTCAGATTACCCAAAAGATTCTCCATATTACTCAACTCATAACAAGAAGGTCATAGGTAAGTTTAAGGACGAAGCTGAAGGAGTACCCATAATTGAGTTTGTTGGGTTAAGGTCTAAGATGTACTCATATGTGAAGGAAAACGGTGGAGGTGGAATGACCGCTAAAGGAGTCAAAAAGTATGTCATTAGAAATAAGCTCACTCACGAGAACTTTAAGAATGTAATTAGTACGAAAGGTAGGATGAGACATAATATGAATACAATCAGGAGCATCAAGCATACAATTGGAACTTACGAAATGAGGAAGGTCACTCTAAGTTGCTTTGATGATAAAAGGTATATCTTGGAGGATGGAGTTACCAGTTATGCTTACGGACACTACCTAACAATGAAGGAAGCAGTTAAATGTAAAGTCGAACCTGTAAATGAACTGATAAGAGTTGGAAGGCTACCCGGAGAATTTACCCAAGAGGAAGCAGATCGGATGATACTAGAAAGGGTAAGAAATAAGTGTAGAAAATTATGCCCCCTTCGAAGAACCCTGGTGGATCTTACACTAACTAGAAACAATAAGGACAAATTACCACGTGAAGCTGAAGATTACATAAAAACTCTAGTAAACGCTGCTATGGCGTATGGAAGGTAGTTGTTCAAGCGTTGATTGAAAGGTTTTTATAGAAGGGTGTGAGTATCCTCAGGAGTGAAATAAAAGATGTTGAATAGGCTTTGGAATAGAGGAATCGAATGAAATTGGTGGAGTTGAAATTTGAAGATTTGAGAGAAGTGAATCGTTTTAATTTTGTTAGAAAATCTAGCGCTTAAAAAACCAATATGGTCTAGAAAATAAAATCATGATTAAAAAATTCAGATTGAGCCAGACGGATTTCCGTTCACAGAAAAATGGTCGCAAAAGCTAGTGGTCTAGACACGCTAGTTCCTATACTACTCATCCTGTTTGTCAAATAACTCAAATTACACGTATACTTTCACGGGGTCTAAACTGGTTTCGACGAGCAACATCTGGCCAAAAATTCGCTCAGTAGAACACTAATATACCATCGTCCGTAAAATTGACGTTACTTGCACAACTGCAGATAGAAATAACAGTTATATTTGGTCAAAATTTTCCATTCCAGTGCTGCAAAATATACAGCAAGCGAACAGACAATTGTTTGACCTGCCCGAGGGAGGGAGGGGAAGGTAATATTTGTGCAGCAATATGTAAACAAAGCGCGCGCGCGCGGGAATTTGCACTTGATCATCGATCAGGAAGCAAGGACGGCAAATCTCAAGATATAATATGCTTTTTCTCTGTTTCGTCTGGTCGTATGAGCTTACGTAAAGTCGGTTGAAATGGCGCATTTTAACACGACATTCCACACAGCGAGTGGCGCACTTGCTAATGGTGGGATACGTCACGATCTGGGAGAAATCTCAGTGCAACCAGCGAGACAGTGCGAGCATATACTTTCGAAGCTAGGTCGGCTTTCCAGGCCGAACACGATCGAGGAATTCGTCGTAAAAGACGAAAAATAATTAAACAAGAAAGAGCGAGAGAGATATACAGGGATGTTTGAAAGAGAAAAAAGATCTGAGAGGGAAAGAAAAATGCAGGAGAGATTTATTATCGAGCACGAAAATAGGAAGAAAAGGCCTACTCTGGGGCGGTAAATCGCCTTAAATCGCCCTAAATCGCCTAAAATCGCACTAAATCGCGGGTTAAAATTGTCGAATTTCTCCCAAATCGCCCTAAAATCGCCTAAGATCGCTTAAAATCGCCAACATGCATTCTGCTTGATACATTCAGTCCATGTACTCAAGTTTATCAATTGCTGCTATTTTACGGGCAAATCATGTAATCCAGGTGCTTTGCAATGAAAGTAATGCAAAATGAATTAGCAATCAAATAAGTGGATTAGGCTGACAATATTTGGTCACTCAATAGGCACCGGTCATTGACAAAAACAGAGCCTTTTCTGCTTTATGCAGACTTTACAATAATTAGGTAATTCTGGGATCTGAAAGACCCATAGATCCGATACACTGCAAGCAACAAAATTGAGCTAGTTACCAGAATGAGCTAATTTCATTATTGGTGTAAATGGAGGCTGGGCTACAATTTATATGGACTATGGAGGCTGGGCAACAAATTAATCTATAATCTAGCTACATTACTGTTAAGCCTGGTTCACATGTCTGCGATATGCCTGCGACGTCATTGTTTACAGCTGTTGATGCATTCTTTTGTGAATTATTTGGTTGAACTGCTAAGACAATAGCCCGCCGACACATCGCAGACACATGTGAACCAGGCTTTAAGCCTGGTTCACACTGATCGTAATTCATCGACGATCTATTGTATTCTTTTCCGACAGAGAAAGCATTTTACACACCAATGATCACAGACAATGAAAATCCCCGATTCTTACGACCAGTGTGAACCAGGCATTAATTAGAACAACAGTAGGAAACTACGAAAGTCAATGAGTACGAGTGTTGATTTATATAATAAAGTCATCGTGTAATTTGTGCACTGTTGCATGTAAGATCGAGCACTGCATTGTATACAATGGTTGTACTTCGACATGTGCATGGTTATACTCTAGCTCCTATATAGTTATAATTATAGTGGCTATCAAACGAAAAATATACGTGAGGTTATGAGCGATTTGCAACTCTCGTCTATTAAATTTTCCAGACCTGTATATACAATAAACAGTAAAACAATGATTACATCTTACATACCATACAATAGATATTTTGGTGTTGTTTGTTTGCAGAACCTAAATCCACGATGTAGTGCGCCATTTGTTTAACAACTCCTGTAACACTGTACTATTTTGGTTTTAATTTTAAAATAATTTAGAATTCCTACCATTTATATACGATATACTTCATGTAATTTAAACATTACGGCATTACTCCGACAGTTTCCGAATGCGTGACGACACTGTTTCTGGATATGGCACTGGGATATCATATGTAGATATAAAAAAAATTATAAATATGTTTGAAGCATGAAGAAAGCACGAGATTGAAACAGTTTAAATAAAATGCAAGCTAAATAAAGAAGTTTTGACATGATACAAAACAAGACAATTTCACTTACAAGGGTGACAAGGTAAATTATGGGATTATAGCCTATTCAGTTATACTGTATAAATACATAATGTATTTTGTGTGTTTCTACTCCCTACCCCTTGTGATTTTTTTGGAAATCAAATATTTATTATATTTTGCAATTTTAACTCGATATGT